ATTGTTTACGTATAACACCCAGTGCTCCATGCAGAACGTGCCCTTTTAAATCACCTTTACCTTGGTTTGGTTTTGTTTTCCTCTTGTTTTTGTGGTTTGTTTTCCAGGTAGATTTTATACTATTGATTCACATTTTTTAATGGTTATAGGTCTGTTTGGTTTTCTATTTCTTCCTGAGTCAGTTTTGGTAAGTTATATTTTTTTTCTATGAAAATTGTCTATTTTCTGTGAGTTTTCAATTTTGTTGGTATAATGTTCATGTTGCACTCTTCCTAGCTTTAAAATCTCTGTTACATGTGTAGTTTTGTTGTTTTTTCAATCCTAATGTTTGCTTGTGCTTTTCTTTCCCTTCATCAGTTCTGATATATAGAGCATTTTACTATTTTTCATTTCTAAATATTTTCCAGCTTTACTTAGAATACTTCTGTGGACCATTGATTATTTAGATATCTGCCTTTTAATATCTTTAGTGTAGTATTTACTTATTTATTTGGTTCTTTCTAGTTTTATTTTACTGGAGTGTGGGTCTGTTTGATATCAGTTTTTTCTGGCATTTGTCAAGATTTGCTTTTGCTTTATAACAGGCTAGTTTTTATAATGTTACTTGTTTGTTTGAAAATAATACATTCTTTTAAATTTCTGGATGCAGGTTTCTATGTGGGTCCATAAGATTGAAGTTGTTAATTTGTTCAAATTTTTTATATTCTTACCAGTTTTATTTCTTTCTGCTATATCATCTATTATTTTAAAAGTCTTACTATGATACTGAATATATTAATTTTTCCTTGTAATCATTAATGTTTTCACAACCCTTTTGTAGCTACATTGTTAGGTATATTATTCAGAATTGCTATTCCAGGGTATTTTCTTTTACAATTATGTTAATGAATTTTTAAAAATCTTAATAATGATTTTGCCTTTAGTGTCTATTTTAACTGATAGAAATATAGCTACCATAATTTTCTTTTAACATCTGCCTGATGTATCTTTTCCATCCTTTTACTTTTAACCTTTCTGTGTCCTATGTTTAGGTATATCCCTTTTAAACAGATTATTGCTAATTTTTAAAAATATTTGTTCATTTTGGTTTTATTTGTCATCCAGTGTGACACTGTCTTGTAATAGGTAAATTTAATCCATTTATAAATTTCATGATGATCAATATATTTATATTTATTCTTAGTATCTGATCTTGTGCTATTTACTGCAGCTTTTGCTTGTTTGTTTGCATGCATGCTTCCCCCCCCCTTCCTGCCTGCTGTTGATTTGGTCAAGTGTAGTTTAATTTCTCTTTTTATTTAATGTCTTTGGAAGCTATACATTCTATTTCAATTATTTTAATGTTTATCTTTAAATTTTTAACACTTAAGATTTACCTAAAGTCTAGAGTCAGTTTCTCCACTATATTCCTAAGCCAAACAAGAAACTCAGTTTATCTTATACCATATACAAAAATTAACGAAAAACTAATCCAAGATCTGAATATAAGAGCTAAAACTATAAAACTCATAGAAGAAAACATAGGGGAACGCTTTATGACATTGGATTTAGCAATGGTTTCTTGGATATGACACGAAACAACAGGCAACAAAAGGAAAAATAGACAAATAGGACTACACCACCTTTAAAAATTTCTGTGCATTGGAGGACACAGTCATCTTGGTGAAAAGGCAGCCGATGGAATGGGAGAAAATAGTTGCAAATCATATGTCTGATTAGGGGCTAACTATCTAGAATATGTGTTAATATGATTACCTACAACTCAGTAACAGAGCAATTCAAAATGCGCAAAATACTTGAATAGACATTTCTCCGAAGAAGATATACAAATGGCCAACAAGCTCAATGTCCCTAGTCATTAGGGAAATGCAAATCAAAGATACTACCTCACACCCATTAAGTGGCTACTGTTAAAAAAAATTTAAAAATCCCACAATAAAACAGAAAATAATTGTTGGTGAAGATATGAAAAAATTGGAACACTTGTGCTCTGTTGGTGGGAATGTGAAGTGTAAAATGCTGTAGCCACTCTGAAAAACAGTATGGCAGTTCTTCAGAAAATTAAAAATAGAATTATTGTATTATCCAGCAATTCTACTTCTGGGTATATAATATGCTTCACAGAATTGAAAGTAATGACTCAAAGAGGTATTTGTACACCCACATTCATAGTATCCACAATATCCAAGAGATTTAAGTAACCAAAGTGTCCATCAGCAGTTGGATGAATAAAGAAAATGTGGTATTTACATGTAATGGAATATTATTCAGTCTTAAAAAGAAGGAAATTTTAACACATGATACAACATGGATAAGCCTTGAAAATGTTAAGTGATTTAAGCCAGACACGAAATGTCAAATATTGTATGATTTCATGACTCTGAGGCACCTAGGGTAGTCAGACTCAGAGAGAAAGTACAGTGGTAGTTGTCAGGGCCCAGGATGGGGCAGGGGGTGGGCAGGGGGCAGTTAGTGCTTAATGGATGCAGAGTTTCAGTTTTGCAGGATGAAAAGAGTTCTGGAGAGGGATAGTGGTGATGGTTGCACCACAGCATGAATGTGCTTCATGCCCTTGGAGTGTATGCTTGGAAATGGTTATAATGGTAAATTTTGTGCTATGGGTATTTTACCACAAGTAAAAATAATAATTAAAAAGTAAATTAAAAATAAAGATGAGAAAATAAGAAACTTCAACCACTTGAATCCTAATTGTTCCCTTGGTAACATGTTACTGTTTTCTGGTATTTTAGTTCCATCTGATTTTTCAATCTTTAAATAGTTGTCCCTCCTCCTCTGCTACCTCTCTTTCTCCTTCTCTTTTTCCTACTCCTCCTCGTCCTCTTACTCTTTGTCATTATTTTATCCAATTAATGACTATGTAAAAGTTTACTAATACCTTTGTTCACAATTGCTTCTACTATCACATTCTTCCATGTGCATTAAATTTCTTGTTTCCTGAGGTGTGTCCTTATGTTTATCTGAAAGAGTGTCTACATGGAAAATCATTCACTCTTTGTGTGAAAATGTCTATATTTAACCCCCATTTGTGTGTCATATTTAGGTGACAATTATTTTGTCTTGTCACTTTGAAGATACAATTCCATTTTCTTCTGACTGCTATGTCAGTACTAATAATCCAGCTGTCAGTCTAGTTGCTGTGCCTTGGTAGGCAACCTCTTTATATTCTTTACTGTTTTGAAGATCTCTTTGCCTTTGGTACTCTGCAGTTCAACTGCAGTGTGTACAGAAGTGGATCTGGTTTTATTTATCTTTTCATATCTTTTACCTATTTGCTTTTTTTTTTTATTTTAAGGATTAGCTTTTTGGTTTTTTTCCCCCCATTTCTAGGACTTCATTTCACTTTATAAATCTTTCTTTTCTTATGATTTCACTTTTTAAATCATCTCTAATCATTTTAAACATACTTATTTCATGAAGTAGAATTGATCATTTTTAGGGGTCTAATTATATTGCTTCAATTTCTGACTTTTTTTTGTAATGGACTGTTTCCTCATTTAGTTTGTATTTTTGGATTGTGAGCTCATCTTCAGTGGGCTATTATGTGTGAGAATTATACGTGCTCAGGTTTGATCATGTGTCCTATAAAAGAGTGAATTTTGAATAGTAGTAGTTTTGAATTTGTTATGCCAGGTTTTTGGGGTGCACCTCACCTGGTGCCACTATTTTTGCCGATTCCTTGGCCTGAGGACTTCTGGACCACAGAAGCACTATGATTTAGAATATCCACTGCTGGGACTATGTGGCTGAAAGTGATGAATTTTAGGAGGAGCAATTTTTTTCTTCACATTTCAGCCACAATCAATATAGATAAAATATCTTTCTCTGAGTGGCATGTTTTTATAATTCACCTTTTCACTTACCCTCTAGAGTAAAGGCTATTATATGAGGTGGCTTCTTGCTTCAAACTTCATATAAGCTGGGGGCTGTCCTCTTGTCCTCATGGATATATTAAAATCCAAGTACATGGAAAATGAAAACCAACAGTCCCCAGCCCCATTCCTGCTCTAACAAGTATCACCCTGCTTCTCAAACATTTGATTACCAGCCCCTAAGAATTTCTTTTTTCTCTAAGAGCTCATTTATATGTTTACAAAAATGGTTGTTATATTTTATCTAGTATTTTTAAGAGTTTGAGGTACATGAGTTTCAAGTTAACCTTATCTCAGTATTATCAAAGAGGAAGTCTATTCTAATGATTACTAAGAATATTTTTTTCTAGAAAATCCAGAATATTAACATCATTCTACCTTGAGAATGTTCTTTTATGATATGCTTCTTTAAAACATACAAAGAAACAATTTTATTTTACCTCAGAGTACCTTACAAGATGTGTGTGTGCCCAGGATCATTTTTAGTGATTATTTTCTTATTTAGCTCTAACTTGCCGTAATTATATGCCCAACTATTTCTCTCTACTAGGACTTTATTTTTTGAAGAATATGTTTCAAACCCCTTTGTAATTTTTAAAATTAATAAGTACTTTGCAGTACATTGTTAATATTGATTTCCTTAGGTTTGAATTAAGGTGTTTTAAAATAATTTCCGGGTCGCTAATAAGTATTGGCCTGTTTTTTTTCAGGCTATATTTTCCTTTGACAAATTGCAGAATTTTCCTAGTTCCATTATTTATATGAATGTGTTGGTTAGTAATATCAATAGTAAGGATGTTCTGTACTAAATACTCAGTTTGTTTTTAATGGCTGTGGTGTTCAAATCATTTTGTTACCTTAAATGTAGACAGTGAAGTACCAGCAATAATAAAGATTCTATAGTATTATGAAATCTGGAGGACTACTAGTGTGGAGATTATATACAATTTAACTTATATGTACAAGGAGGCTAAATTCAGGTAATGACAAAGTTGTAGTTGTTTTGAAATAGTGTCTGTTGTATATGTGAGTAAGTGTAAATATTTTTATTTAAAAATTGTTAATTGTTTCTAATGTAATAGATTACTAAAAATGTGTGAACTTCTTCAGGTCCAGTCCTCAGTGGCTGTTGGAACTCCAGATTATATCTCTCCTGAAATCCTTCAAGCCATGGAAGATGGGAAAGGGAGATATGGGCCTGAATGTGACTGGTGGTCTCTGGGGGTCTGTATGTATGAAATGCTTTATGGAGAAACACCATTTTATGCAGAATCTCTGGTGGAGACATATGGAAAAATCATGAATCATAAAGTTAGTATGTTTTACTATTTTTCAATTGAATGTGGTAAATGATACAATAAATTTAAAGTAATGTGATAGGTAAAGAATTTTTTTTAAAAACAACATTCTAATTCCTATGCTAATAGGGGGCCTGACAAAAGTGAATAATCAAAATCCATAAATTGTACATGAAATTATGAGTTCTTACCTTCTCCTGTATTTTATTAGCAATGCTAATAAATAGGAAATTAAATGGTCTCTCCAGTAGAATAACAAAATTGGTAAGCAGATAATTTATATCCTTACTACTGTAAGTATACTCATGACTAGAATGCATTTAAAAAATCCTCACCCTGGGGCACCTGGGTGGCTCAGTCGTTAAGCGTCTGCCTTCGGCTCAGGTCATGATCCCAGAGTCCTGGGATCGAGTGCCGCATCGGGCTCCCTGCTCAGCAGGGAGTCTGCTTTTCCCTCTCCCACTCCCCCATGCTTGTGTTCCCTCTCTCACTGTCTCTTTCTCTCTGTCAAATAAATAGATAAAAATCTTTAAAAAAAATAAAAAATTCTCATCCTTAGCCATAATAAGTGAAATGTAAATCAAAATAAAACTGAGATATTCCTTTTCCCTCTGGCAAAGATGAAAAGAAAAATTACACTGTAAATAAGCCAGTGAGATGGACATTGTTAGACATTGTTGATAGGAATATAAATTGATGTAATCTTTCTGTCAACAAGTCTGTAAGTATGCATCTAGAGCCTTAAAAATGGTTAGAACTTTGGATTGAGCAACTTCAGTTTTAGGAATCTGCCCTAAGGAAATATTCAGTCGAACCAAGATGTTTGTACAAGGATATTCCAGTCTTTACCATCAAAACAGTGAAAACAATCCAGAATCACCACAGAAACAAATTAATAGAGCCTTAATCCATTTAGTTCCCAGTGAAATAGAAATAAATTGTAATAAAGAGAGGAAGGTTCTGATTGATTGGTTTCAGAAGATTGTGAGCAGTTGCAAACACCTGGAATGGGAATGTCCCATAAAAGGGGGTGATACCGTTATGATCAGTTGCTTCACGAATATATTAACCAGTTGATGCTCTTGTGTGGAGTTGGTGCTCTTCTGCCTGGCTGCAAGAATAATCTGCTAACCTAGTTATGGAGAGTCGGAAGATGGAATAGCCAGCTACTGAGTTGTAAAGAGCACATGTAGCATTTCAGAGAGAGCGTTGTCTGTGACGTGGTGGCTCAGAGCACGGATTGTGGAGTCAGGCCGCTCTTCCAAAATCCCAGCTCTCCTTGTTTACTAGTTGTGTGACTGGGAGCAACTGGCTTGAACTCCCTGGGCCTTTGGGTCTCTTCTATAAAATCAGGATAATAGTGGCACCTGCCTTTGAGGATTGCTGTGAGGATTATAGGCATTAAGTGAATAAAGTGTTTCCACGAGTGCCAAGTGCATGGTCCATTCTTTACAGGTGTTTGCTGTTGTTACTTAATGCTTAGTTTGTGGCATATATGAACATTGTCAGTCATAGACACTCTACTGAAATGTTGAGTCAGATTCTACTTTTAATAAGTTCTCTTCCTTTTGACAGCAGTTTAAGGTATTTTAGCATTTAATTTATTCTTTCTACAGTACATGTGTAACTAAGTCATATAAAATTAAAAGTTCTTGTAGCTAAATTCTTTTTTTCTTGTAATATGAGTACTCTGCACTAGTGTACACTTATTACACATTTTTAAAATGCATTTTTAAGAAAATAAATGTTAATCAACCTATTTAGGGAGTTAAATACTGATTTATATTTTGTTTCTATTGTTCTGTGTCTAGGAGAGGTTTCAGTTTCCAGCTCAAGTGACCGATGTGTCTGAAAATGCTAAGGATCTTATTCGAAGGCTCATTTGCAGCAGAGAACACCGACTTGGTCAAAATGGGATAGAAGACTTTAAGAAACACCCATTTTTCAATGGAATTGATTGGGATAATATTCGAAACTGTGAAGCACCTTATATTCCAGAAGTTAGTAGCCCAACAGATACATCGAATTTTGATGTGGATGATGATTGTTTAAAGAATTCTGTAAGTATGACATTGCGAAGAAGTTCTGTCCCTCTCTTTCTTTTTAATGTGGTTATGAAGCAATTGTATGGACCTTATCAATTACCAGTCAGACAGTTATCATGGCTTCTAGTATTTATTCTCTCATATATTGAGAAATTAAGAGAGTTCACTGAGGTGAACATGTTTATTCATGACAAGGAGCAAAATTAAACTTCATGTATTGACTCATGAGATCAGTTACGCCGTGAGGTTTCCTAGGACAAAGAGAAGTTAGATGCTTAGAAAAGTGGACTTTGATGGCAGAGTAAAGAGGTTGGCAAATCTCTCCTTAAAAGGCTCCACGATACTGGACAGAATTGTCAAAAACAACCATTTGGGGGCTTGACCACTCAACCCAAGGGAAGTAAATCGAGAAGCATTTATTCATGAGAAACTGGTTAAAACCTGCCCCCACCCCATTCCATCGGCCTGGTTGGGGCCGTGGCGCTGCTGGCAGGAGACTGACTTGATCTAGAGAGCTCCCCATGCCCAGTGGTGTTGCCACTAAAAGTAGCAAACTTGGTAGGAAGTGAAGGGCACGGGGGGGAATCTACAGCCTTGCTATCCTGAGGTTGTAGCCTCCCTTGAGGCGGGTGGCAGACCAGCAGAGTCGCCAAACACTGGACCGCTTTTAGTTTGTGGGCCGGCATGGTTCGTCAACCCTTGCTCTACACCTTTAGGTTACATTGTTACAATTTAGGACAGTAAGAACATAAAATTTTATGGATGTTGCCTTTTTAGCCTTCTTAATTTGAACTTTTTTAAATCCCATTATTTTATTTCTTATGGTTTTAATTCTGCACTAAGAATTTGTATATTGATTTTCTATCACTTTTCACTGTTCAGGAGGTAGCATGGGCAAGGCAGGTAAGGACTTCTTATGCTTCCCTCTCTGGGCCTCCAAGAAAAAATTAAATGGACTTTCCTCATCAGTGTTTTATCGTAAGAATTACATTTTACTATAAACAGAAATTTGCATCATTCCAAATTAAATACATAGTATAGTCGATTCTGATTATGGTAGTTATATGTTCCATAAAGTTTCTGTGTACGCTGTATTCATGAATATTGAACTAGGGGAAATTTCCTAGGGGAAATTCAGGGTTAGGTTCTTCTGAACCTCTGGTCATTTCATTCAACCAGTCGGTACATAACCTTGTTTTATGTATGTTTCTTTTTAAAGACACCTTATTGAATATATATTGTTGATTAACAGCAAGTTCACAGCCAACAGCAGTGTAACTCAGGCCTGAGCAAAGCTTCTCTAACACACATACGTATTTGTAAGGCACATCACAGCCATCTTGCTTAGAAACCATCTAGATGGCCCTTCTGCACTATGGTTGGAGGACATTTTAAACAACATAGTCGCCCATAAAAAGCAGAAAAACGTGAAAGACGTGGCACATGCAGACCTTGGAAGGAATACTTTTTTGTCATATCAGAGCTGAAACAAGAAGGCAGAGCGTCTCCTTGTTCAGTCTCAGCTGGAAACTTAGGCACTGAGAGGCTCAAATTTTTTTTTTTACTCTGCCTATGTCTGCGAGCGATTGCAAAAGTACTATGAATATTGATTTGGGTTACAAATAATTTTTAGCGACGAGGCAAATCTGCACATATGCATACCTGAATAATCACTGTGCTCTCAATGTCAGACTTTCCACCTGGAGTTTAATTTGTTAGAATATTACAGTGGCAGTGTTCATTGTCTGGATTCTAGATCACTGTGCATCTGCACCAGACTTCATTGAACAGCCATGTATTTCCTATTGATAGTAAATATTATAGGCCAACCTACAGGTCACAGTTATTTATTTCTTACCAGATGTTCTTTCCTCCTTCAGGAAACGATGCCCCCACCCACACATACTGCATTTTCTGGGCACCATCTGCCATTTGTTGGTTTCACATATACTAGTAGCTGGTAAGTTGGAAAAGTTAACGTAATTTGGACAACTTAAAGCAAATTAAGATGAATTGAAGTTTTAAAAAAATATATGAGAGAGCCTTGTAAGTCAAAAAAAATTTAAAATAGAGGCTGAAGCTACTGCTGGAAAAAGTTAGATGTTCTGTAACGAATAGAGCATAGGAGAATCTTAAGTCATTTTGGAGAGAAATAGAGCTCAGAGTCTTCCTCTCAGCACTGGAGCAGGAATTGGAAGAGTCCCTTGCGTTTGAGCAAATACGCTCCATGTGCCAAGTGCCAGGACCAGCCCTGTTTTCACAGACTGCTTCCCAGTCCTCCTTCCCCGGTGTAAGCAGAGTATGATTGTATTCACTCCTTGTGTGCCCTCCCTCAGTTTCTCGACTGCCTCCTGTTCTCCTTTGTGGTTTTGTTGAGTTGACATCATCATTACTGTTCAAGTGCCAGTGCAGTTCACAGCGTCCAAAGAAAAGCATCTGACCGTTCTCACTGGTCCCACCTTCCACGGTCAGGGTCCCGATCTCCAGGACCCTTCTCGGTCCTGGGCCCACTCTCCTGCTCTCCCTTGATGAGCTCACTTGTCCTTGCGTGGAGAGGTTGACGCACGCAGCTTTCACATGCTCCTCTGCACGGCCCCGCCTGCCTGCCTCTGGCCCCGAGCGCTCGCCTGTGCAGATGAACCGTGGGGGCTCCCAGTCGGTCCTGTCTCATGTGTCTGCACTCATCTTGTGCGTCATGGCTCCTTCCCATCACAGCACTTCTGTCTTTTACCTTCCAGGGTGCTTGCCTGACTTCGCACCTTTCTGGCCAGTCCTTCTCTGCCTCTGCAGCTGATGCCTTTGATCTCCCAATCTCCCTGGGCCCCACGGCTTTATCTTGGGACCTTTTCCACTTATACTGTGGTTCACTCCCCCATACTTACTGGCAACTCCTGAATGTGAGACCCCTCTGCTCTGTCCTACTTAAAACCTCTCTGAACCACCTACTCAAATGTTTATAAACTCGTCTCTTAGATTTCTTTGAACCTGTCTGGTCCTGCTAAAAGATAAGTCGGAACGTGTCACTCCCCTGTTCCAGACTATCCCCACAGTCCCCCAACTCCAGTGGCTTATATCTTAATCCAAACCAACATTCTTACCAAGACCCTGCATGATTGGCTCACTTTCTCTTTCCCACTACTCTTAACCTTGCTGACTCTGCTCCAGCCACACATGGCTCCTTTCTGGCACGGTCCCAGGCCAGAAAGCCTACTCCTATCTCAGTGCTCTTGCACTTCTGTTCCATCTGTCTGGAATGCTCTTCCCCCCCCGGTTACTCCCTCTGGACTTTATTCAGAGTTCCTCTCTGAGTGATAGCCTCCTGGCCACTTTGTCTGGATTTTTATTTCTTCCCCCTCAATATGTCACCTCTTCCTTTCCTGCTTGATGTTTTCTCCTTAGCATTCAGCACTGCCTAATGCCCTGAATATTGTACTTATTTATCTCGTTTGTTTCTGTCTCCATCATGGGAACATAAGCTCTTCATGGGCAAGTGTCGAATTTGCTCACTGCTGAATGTCCAACACTTCAAATATTTTTAGCTAAATTGTATTGAATTAAAAGAAGCATTTCACTTCTGAGTCCAGATTCTGACGAACAGGGCCATGGTGTGTGGTTTTGACTTAGGTGGTCACCTTTGTTCAGCAAATATCATTTTATAATTTGTGGTTATTGAAATTCAAGACAATTGGGACATTTTTAAAAAATCCTTCTAAAAAGTGGTCTGTGTTGAGATTTGTAAGCAGTGTGTTTTACCATCACCCTAGATGGCTAACTGTAGCTAGATATCGAAATCCATGTTTTAAATAGACAGCTGCAGAAGGCTTTCTCTGTTTCTTCACTTTCTTTTCCGCATGAACTCACGTTTTTCTGTTTCTTCAGTGTTCTTTCCGATCGGAGCTGTTTACGTGTCACAGCCGGTCCCGCGTCCCTGGACCTTGATGTCAGTGTCCAGAGGACTCTCGACAACAACCTGGCAACCGAGGCGTACGAGAGGAGAATCAAGCGCCTCGAACAGGAAAAGCTTGAGCTGAGTAGAAAGCTTCAAGGTAAATATAGTTAACGATGGTATCTTCCCTTTTGGAGTTGGACTCAGAGTTTGAAGAACTATTGATTATGAGGAGTTGTTTTATCTTGAAAAGAAATTTTTGTATGAAGTGGAAAAAATCCAGTTGAAGACTCATGTGGAATATGGAATAATACTGTTTATGTAGACTCACAATGTTAACAGTCCCCCCGACAGCGTTCGTTTCCCCACGGGTTCCTTTGTGCACACGTGAACTCGTCTGGGAAGGAGATGGGGCTGCTCTCGGGAAAGGAGCCCTTCCCATCCCAGTGTAGCGCTGGGGATCACTGTCCTATTTCCTCAGCCTTGAAAGTGCTGGCAAACTGTCCTCTGCAGCATCACTCCTGGCGTGATACTTGGTGACTGTAAAATGCACTTTGGCAAACCTCCTACTGTTCTGACTTCTCTTGGTCTCTTGATTCTTACACATCCAAGGATCCTATCCTCCACCTGACCTCATCCAACTCCTGTGTTGAGACTACAGTGTCCAGAATTCTTTATTAATCTCAATTTCTGTATTATTTTTAAGTCTTTTTTCTTTTTCAGTTTTTATTTATTTATTTGTCAGAGAGAGAGAGCGCACGAGCAGGGGGAAGCGGCAGAGGTAGAGAGAGAAGCAGATTCACCGCTGAGCAAGGAGCCCTGTGTGTGCGGGGCTCGATCCCAGACCCTGGGATCATGACCTGAGCCGAAGGCAGACGCTTAACTGACTGAGCCACCCAGGCACCTCTAATCTCAGTTTCAAGCAAACCCTGCATCATCTCCTGTTCATAGTAGTCTAGTTCACTCCCTCTGGTGCCTCCTGCGTTCCTTCCATTCCACTGTTACCTGCTCTGTCCCCCTCACCCTGTGCCTTGTACACTCCATCCTTCCATGGTCAGTCATAATCCGGCCCTTACTTGGATCCTCACATCCGCTGCTCTGACTTCAGTCTGTCACACTCCATTGCCAGAACCCCAGCCCTGTTGACCTGCATTCCGTGTGGCTGAAGGTAACGTACTTAGGACAGGCAGGGTGCTGACTGATCCCACTTGAGATTCACGAGTGTGGATCTCGAGTCCACTCCCACTGTGTGCTCCCCAGCAGTCCTGCTTCCCAGGCTGGGGCTTCTCACCTGTCAGCATCTGACCCAGTTGACCATTCCCCCTCCTGACAACTCTTTCTTCTTTTGGCTTCTGGGACACTTGAATCTCCTGGTCTTCTTTTTCCTCATAAACCAGTTATTCTGTCTCTTTCCTGAGTTCTCCTGAACTCTTTGACCTATGAATGTCAGGGTCCTCCAGAGCAGTCCAGGCTCTTAGGTGCTCAAAACTACAACTTTCCAGGCATCTTTAAGCCCTCTCCTTCTGTCACATCTCCCATTTCGCCCGTCAGCGAACCTGGGCAGCTTTGCCATCACAGAAGATCGGGAGTCCAATGTCCCCATTACTGTGTGGCCATCACCCCATTCACATCACCACCACTGTCACCCGCCTTCTTGTAACCACTTTCTAGCTGCTTTCCCTGCCTTATCTCGCCCCTGCCTCCCCCACTGTTCCTTCTGTTTCTAGCCACCCTGGGCTCCCTGGCTGTTCTTTCTACAAACCAGGCATGTCCCCACCTCAGGGCCTTTGCGTCAACTGTTGCCCTGCCTTAAATTTTCTTCCTTTGGCATTCACATGACTCATTCCCTTACCTCCTTCAGGTTTCTACTTGAGTGTTACCTTGAAATGAGGCTTTTCTGACCACTCTATTTAAAACCTAATCTTGGGGCGCCTGGGTGACTCAGTCATTAAGCATCTGCCTTCGGCTCCGGACATGATCCCAGGGTCCTGGGATCGGGCCCCAAGTCGGGCTCCCTGCTCTGCGGGAAGCCTGCTTCTCCCTCTCCCACTCCCCCTGCTTATGTTGCCTCTCTGTCTCTCTCTGTCAAAAAATAAATTTTAAAAAAATCTAAAAATAAATAAATTAATTAAAAAAATACATCGTACTCTTGTTTTATCTCCACTTACTCTCCCTCTTTCCTCTTTTATTTTCTTCAGAGTAAGGGACATAACATACAATTTATTTTACTTACTCCTTTTGTGAACAAAGGAATGTGTGTATAAATAATCAAATAGCTTGTAACTCTTGAGAGAAATAATCAAAGTTTTACAACAATAAAATTTTGCTGTTATACTTTTAGAGGCCCCATAGAGAAAAAAGAAACTACAGACATCAATAAAACAGACTGTTTTCCATTTTTCTGTAAGTTGCTATGATCTCTGCATGTGGATTCCTTCTTCTTTGTGAAGCAAGTTGTTTCTTTTGACTTTTTAATTAAATATATTTACCGTATATCATTGTATAAATTTAAGATGTACACCTTGTTAATTTGGTACGTTTATATACTGTAGTAAGATTGTTGTAGTGATGGTTAGTACTTCTGGCACATACGTAATTACAGGACAGCATTGTTACCTGTATTTATGACACTGGGCAGTAGATCTCTGTGACTTCTTTACTACTTGTTGCGAGTTGGTACCCTTAAACAACATCAGTCTCGTGTCCCCACTCCTGCCCCATCCCCTGGTAAGCACAGTGTTACTCTCTGTTTTTCATGAGTTTGACTTTTTTAGATCTCACATATAAGTGATGTCATGCAGTGCTTGTTTTGCTCTGTTGGACTGAGCATTGTGTGCTCCAGGTCCATCCATTCATTTTGTCACAAATGGCAGGATACTCTTTCCTTTCTCGTGGCTGAATAACATTCTGTTGTGTCCATATACCCCGTCTTTTTTATCCATTCATCCATTGATAGACTTTGGGTTGTTTCCATATCTTGGTTATTGTGAATAATGTTTCAGTAAACATGGGGGTGCTTATATCTCTTCGAAATCCTGCTTTCATTTCCTTTGAGTATATAACCAGATGTGGAATTACTGGATCATCTGCCAGATTGGTTTTTAATTTTTTGAGGAAACTTCATAATGTTTTACATTGTGGTTGGACCAGTTTACATTCCCACCAACTGTGTACAAGGGTTCCCTTTTCACTCCATCCCTGTCAGCACCTGTTTTCTCTTGCCTTCTTCCTGATAGCCATTCTGACAGTATGAGCATTGTGACATTGTGGTTTTGATTTGCATTTCCTTGAGGTGAGTGATGTTAAGCATCTTTTCATGTGCCTGTTGGCCATTTTGAAGTACTCTTTTGAAAAGTATCTATTTAGTTCTGCCCATTTTTAAATTGGATTTTTTTTTGTCATTAAGTTGTATGAGTTCTTCATATATTTTGAATATTAGCCCCTTATCTGATATATTGCTTGCAGAAGTTTTTTCCCATTCTGTAGGTTGCCTTTTCATTTTGCTGGTTGTTTCTTTTGCTTTACAGAAAGAAGGTTTTGAAAGTTTGATGTAGTCCCATTTGTTGATTTTAGCTTTTGTTGTTTGTGCTTTTGGCATCATATCCAAAATATCATTGCCAACATCAATGTCTGGGAGCTTCTAACCTATGTGTTCTTCTTGAAGTCTTGCTATCAGGTCTTATGTTTAAGTCTTTGATCTATTTTGAGTTAATTTTTGTGAGTGGCATGAGAGAGGCCCACTTGGCATTGTTCTGCATGTATTTATCCAATTTTCCCAGCACCATTTGTTGGACAGACTGTCCTTTCTCCATTGGGTATTTTTTGGCTCCCTTATTGAATATTAGTTGACCATATATGCCAGGATTTGATCCTGAGCTCTCTCTTTTGTTCTGCTGGTCTGTATGTCTGTTTTTGTACCAGTAACATATTGTTTTTATTACTGTAGCTTTGTAGTATAGTTTGAAAATTAGGAAGCATGATGCCACTAGCTCTGTTCTTTTTATCAGGACTGCTTTGTCTTTTCAGGGTCTTATTTTTTTTTTAATTTTTGATTGTTATGTTAATCACCATACATTACATCATTAGTTTTTGATGTGGTGTTCCATGATTCATTGTTTGTGTATAACACCCAGGGCTCCATGCAGAACATGCCCTCTTTAATACCCATCACCAGACTAACCCATCCTCACACCCCCCTCCCCTCTAGAACCCTCGGTTTGTTTTTCAGAGTCCATAGTCTCTAATGATTTGTCTCCCCCTCTGATTTCCCCCGCTTCATTCTTCACCTCCTGCTATCTTCTTTTTTTTTTTTTTTAACATACATTGTATTATTTGTTTCAGAGGTACAGATCTGTGATCCAACAGTCTTGCACAATTCACAGCACTCACCATAGCACATACCCTCCCCAATGTCTATCACGCAGGCACCCCATCTCACCCACCCCCCCCACCATTCCAGCAACCCTCTGTTTCCTGAGATAAGAATTCCTCATATCAGTGAGGTCATATGATACATGTCTTTCTCTGATTGACTTATTTTGCTCAGCATAACACCCTCCAGATCCATCCACGTCATTGCAAATGGCAAGACTTTGTTTCTTATGTGTGTTTTTTTTGATGGCTGCATAATATTCCATTGTATATACATACCACATCTTCTTTATCTATTCATCTGTCGATGGACAACTTGGCTCTTTCCACAGTTTGGCTATTGTGGACATTGCTGCTATAAACATCAGGGTGC